GCAGGCATAAGCAGCCATGCAAGCTTGGATGGCCCTGACTCCTACTGCCTATAGTATACTGCCTGGCCAAACAAGGCATTATGTCAGGGCAAACACCCATCCACTAGATAAATCAATAGGAGCCGCTAGCCGATGCTGCGTGTATACTATTTTCTCTTCGGCCTTGGCTTCACTCTGCATCATTCCTAGAGAAGGGTTTTAGGACAACAGATAGTCACTCGGTCACATCGCCAGTCACACAGCGTCGCAACGTGTCTTGTCGCCTAGGGTACGTCAGTACGTGTATAACATCATTTGCTACACGTCAGATTACAGATCGTACAGTTGTGCGTGTAACCTCGCATTGCTGCTGTACATCAGGCACGACAAGACAGCATGCTGGCGAATGTGGGCGTCACGTGGGAAGCTGGAATAACGTGGGAAGCTGGAATCACATGTGAAGATGGAATCACGAAAAATGCCGGAATCACGTGGATGGCTGGAATCACGTGGGAAGCTGTTGTCACGTGGGAAGCTGGAGTCACGTGGGAAGCCGAAGTCACGTGGGAAACTGTTGTCACGTGGGAAGCTGGACGCCCACGTGGGAAGCCATGGTCTCTCAGCATGCAACCGAACGCGTCACACGACTCTACAGCCGTTCACCACCAGCGTCGCTATGGCAACATGAGAAATGCATGGACGCGCCTGCAAGTGTTTGCTCCACGTTACACGGGGGTCGTGGCAGTGCTGGCGCCGTCATGGGGTGGAGGAGGGGAGGAGGAGGAGGAGGGGGTAGTGTTTCTATCAGTCGATACGTTAAGCTGAGAGCAGCGCTTGCATGTGTTTGCCTCGTTATACGGCATTGTTAAAACCGCGGTAACGCACCGTGCGTACAGCAAGGCAAACGTGCTCCGCATAGACACGCATTCTCCCAGCTCTCTCTCACGGGCTCTCCCTCCCCCCCCCCTCTCTCTCTCTCTCTCTCTCTCTCTCTCTCTCTCTCTGGCGGGCTCTGATTCTCTCTCTCTCTCTCTCATCTCTCTCGCTCTCCCGCCCTCTCTCTCCGCGGCCTCTCTCTCCTCAGCTCTCTCAATTGCCCTCTTCTCCTCTCTCATCTCCTCCTCTCGTCTTCTCCCGCTCTCTCTCTCTCTCTCTCTCTTCGCTCTCTGCTCGTCTATACCTATCTATCTCACTCACCTCCACTCTCTCTCTCTCTCACGTCACTCCTCTCTCTCATCTCTCTCTCCTACTCTCTCTGCTCTCTCTCTCTCTCTCTCCCTCCTCTCCGTCTCTCCGCTCCTCTCTCTCACCCTCTCTCTCTCTCCCATCATCTCTCGCATCTCTCCCTCCTCTTCATCGTCCTCCTCTCTCAGCTCTCCTCTACAGGCGGCAAGATTCACCTGCAACTCCTCGCGTTAGTGATTCGACATAGCTCCTTTACTGAAGCCGTCGTGAATGCTGTGAGGCCCGCACCGGATCGGCTGTGTGTTGTGTGTGTGTGTTGTGTGTGTCGTCCGTGTGTGTGTGTGTGTACTGGTGCGTGCGTGCGTGTCGTGTTTGTATGTGTGTCTGTGTGCGTGTGCGTCGTTGCGTGGCGGTGGCCGAGTCGTGTGCCTGCTGCGGTGCGTGTGCTGTGTGCGTTGTGCGTTAATGTGTGTGGTGTTGTATGTGCGTGTGTGCGTGTCGGCGTGTGTGCGTCTGTGGTTGTGGCGTGCGCCGCTGCTCCGTGTGTGTGCGTGCGTGTGTGCTGTGTGTGGTGTGTGTGTTGCTTGGCTATTTTCTGCTGTGTGTGTGTTGTCGTGTTTGTGTGTGTGTTGTGTCGTTGTGCGTGTGGTGGTTGTGTGTGGTGCCGTGCTGTGTGGTTGGTGTGTGCTCGTGGCTCGGTTGTGTGTGCGCGCGCGTGTGTGTGCGCTGCCGCGCGCCGCGCTGTTTGCGTCGTGTGTCGTGGGTGTCTGTCGTGCTGTGTGCGTGTGTGTGCAGTGCGCGTGTGTGTTGGTTTGTGTTGCGCGCGCCAGGTCGTGTGTGTGTGTGCGGCGCGCCCGTGGTGCGTGTGCTGTCGTGTGGTTGTGTGTCGCGCGTCCGCCGCGTGTGTGTGTGCGCGTCGCGCGTTGTGTCGCGTGTGCGACGCCGCAGCGTGTCGTGCGTGCGCGTGTGGGTTGGTGTCGCCGCCGCGGCGCGTGTGTTGTGGCACTGTTGTGTGTGTGGTGACGTCTTTGTAATTGGGCGGCGGCGGACTCACATTCGTCTGAGTTAACCCTCATTATGTCTGACCGTACATGCTGGTGATGTCTCGCTGACGGGGCGACTGTCCTGCCGCGCCTCGCTTGCGGTGCCATAGTATGCCAGTCGGCTGCTCAGACCAATGCGTAACCAAGCTGCGTCAAAGCAAATCGATCCTATAGGCGCACCCTGGGCCAAAAAAATCTCATCGTTTGTTGACCGACGGAGAGAGAGAAGAGAGAGAAGAAGAATAGAGAAAAGAGAGAGATGACGAGGGGGAAAGAAAGAGATGATAGAGAGAGATATATAAAAACAAGAGAGATGAATAGAGCAGAAGAGAGAGAGAAGAGAGAGAGACGAGAGAGAGAGAGAGAGAGATGAGAGCAGAGAGAGAAAGAGAGTAGAGAGAGAGAGGGGCAGAGAGAGACGAGAGAGAGAGAGAGAGAGAGAGACGAGAGAGAGAATGAGAGTGAGAGAGGAGAGAGAGATAGTTCTCGCGCGCACACAAGCGCACAAAAATTAGTAGATCAAAGGACGAGCAATGAAAAGAGATGACGAGAGATAGGGAGAATAGACAGAAAGCGAGCAAAATCCGTACACCTGAGCCAGAGAGAGTAGAGACAAGAACAATCAGAGAGAGAAGCGAGAAGGTCAAGAGAGAGACTAGAAGAGCGAGCACCCCCGATAGACGCAGAGAGAGAGAGATCACTGATCTATAAAACAACTCTGCACATGCAAAAGAGATGAAGAGCAGAGACGAGGAGAGACGTGAGAGACGAGAGAGAAGAGAGAAAGGAGAGAGAGAGTAGCGTGAGAGAGAGACGGAGAGAGGATGGAGAGAAGATAAGCGCGCCGGCACTAAGTGACAAAAAGATAGACAAACACACGAAGATGAGAGATAGATGAGGGGAAGATGACAGCAACTGAGCAAAGACGAGATGAGAGGACAGAGAAGAAGAAAGAGAGAGAAGGAAAATCCAGAAGACGTCATAGACAGAGACAGGATGAGTAGTAGAGCCGCGAGAGAGAGCAGGACGAGACGAAAAAGGCAGACGAGAGAGAGAAGAGGACGAGAGAGCGATCAAGACGAGCCCCGCCAGAAAGAGTAGATGAGAGGAGAGAGAGAGAGATGAAGAGACAGAGAGAGGAGGGGGATGAAAGAGAGCCCGCCAGAGAGAGATAGAGAGAGAGAGAGAGAGAGAGAGAGAGCGAGCGAGTGAGAGAGAGGTCCACGTTTCCGTATCTCGCCAGTGTCATTACAATTGCACGCAGTCAAACTGATACGCTGCTTTGATGGAGAAACATAACCATAGAGTGTCGATGGCTGTCTGGACACTACAAGCGATGGCTCCCTCTTACAGCTAGCTGTTATAGTCTTACAATACCCTCCCCCAGCACACTGCCTTCCTCCTTTATCACACAGCTAGCTGTTATAGTCTTACAACAACCCCCACGGCACCCCCAGCACACTGCGTCTCTGATACACTTGACACCTCATAACTGGTTCAGGTGGCGCCACCTAAGTGCCTCTACGTGACGCCACAGAGATGCCCCTAGGTGGCGCCTATATACCACCAACATGGCCCTAGGTGGCGCCTCTATGCCACCAACATGGCCCTAGGTGGCGCCTCTATACCACCAACATGGCCCTAGGTGGCGCCTCTACACCACCAACATGCCCCAGTTCCTGCCCTGTAACACTGAATGCCAGCAGGCGCCATCGAGACAGGTGCAGGAGATACGAGGGGAAGTAGGTACGAGTACGATATCAGGCATCAAAGGTGATTAGTAAGGCTTATGTGATCTAGCTACCACAGTTCAAAGACTTGCTCTCAGTAAGTAATGAAAAACAAATTAGCGTAGAATAGGTTTCGAAATCTAGCACCAGCAGCGCCATCCAATCTGTAATTAACATATAAAGATCAGAAGCATGGATTACAGTATCGGGTTACAATGGCACAACAACCAGCAACACCCAACTTATAATTTATATGTAAAGATCAAAGATATAGATTTCAGTAGCGGATCACAATGGCACAACAACCAGCATTACCCAACCTATAATTTATATGTTAAGATCAGAAGTATAGATTTCAGTATCGGGTTACAATGGCATAACAACTGGCGCCACCAACCTATAAATTAAATATAATAAAAATCAGTAGTATCGGATTACAACATGCACAACAACCGCCACAACACCCATCCTTTAATTTATATATACGTCAACCTGCAGCATCAGATCTGTAATTCATACGTAAAGATCGAATGTGAGATTTGCCAGCCTTGTTATCGTACAACACCCCCACAGCATTTTTACACATACAGGTTTACACACACACAGGTTTTATTAGTTAACGCTGTGTCTAGTTAAATCAGCTCCAATGCGTGAATGTTCGGCAGCCTAATATGACTTCATACGAATAAGATCATCAGTGGGTGATCGAGGAGAAATATACTTCGTGGGCAAACCTACAGCAGCCAACATATAGACGTCAACAATGATCGATGTCCTTCACAATAAGAGCTAAGAATACCATATATAATATGCTATGCTGTGTTGTGATATTAATATCATGAGTTAATAATAATAGATCTATTACTATTCACTCTTGATAATATTATTTAGCTCTTGTTCACATCCCCAGCAACAGCGACGTAATGTAAGCACGGAGGGCATAAAACACACAGGCAGTGACCACTCTGTCAGTGTCAGTGCGTTCGCTGTTGATGCGGCAGCAGCAGCAGCAGCAGCAGCAGCAGCGCAGGCGGTAGTGATGCATAATCGAATGAGAGCTTACCGTCACACTTCATTCCCTGGTGTATAAGGCCGTAGAGCAGCGAGCCACAGTGATCGCAGAAGGTGGGGCTCGTGTACGTGTATACCTTAAACTTGTGCTGACTGCGCGGATCCTGAAACACAGCAGTCAGTGCACATGTTACACTCTATATACCACGTAACAATGACATACAATTCATCTGATGTACATGATACATGATACATTGACAGATTCATAATGATACATGATACATGATACATTGACAGATACATAATGATACATGATACATGATACATTGACAGATTCATAATGATACATGATACATGATACATTGACAGATTCATAATGATACATGATACATGATACATTGACAAATACATAATGATACATGATACATGATACATTGACAGATACATAATGATACATGATACATGATACATTGACAAATACATAATGATACATGATACATGATACATTGACAGATTCATAATGATACATGATACATGATACATTGACAAATACATAATGATACATGATACATGATACATTGACAGATTCATAATGATACATGATACATGATACATTGACAGATTCATAATGATACATGATACATGATACATTGACAAATACATAATGATACATGATACATGATACATTGACAAATACATAATGATACATGATACATGATACATGATACATGATACATGATACATGATACATGATACATGATACATGATACATGATACATGATACATGATGAACGATTCACGATACATAATGATACATGATACATGATACATGATACACAATGCATAATAATACATGATATACATGATACACGATACACGATACATGATACATGATACATTGACAGATACATAATGATACATGATACATGATACATTGACAGATACATAATGATACATGATACATAATACATTGACAGATACTTAATGATACATGATACATGATACATATAATGATACATGATACATGATACATTGACAGATACATAATGATACATGATACACGATACATATAATGATACATGATACATGATACATTGACAGATACATAATGATACATGATACATGATACATATAATGATACATGATACATGATACATTGACAGATACATAATGATACATGATACATGATACATAATACACGATGCATAATGATAAATGATACATGATACATTGACAGATACATAATGATACATGATACATGATGCATAATGATAAATGATACATGTCATGATACATTGACAGATACATAATGATACATGATACATGATACATGATACATAATACGTAACATAATGCTGTACATAATACATCTGATGTCAGTTACCCACACAGCATTGCATGTATTACACTCTATACCTGATGTTACCGCAGCCACACACACAGCATTGCATGTATTACACTCTATACCTGATGTTACCGCAGCCACACACACAGCATTGCATGTATTACACTCTATACCTGATGTTACCGCAGCCACACACACAGCATTGCATGTATTACACTCTATACCTGATGTTACCACAGTCACACACACATCATTGCATGTATTACACTCTATACCTGATGTTACCACAGTCACAAACACAGCATTGCATGTATTACACTCGATACCTGATGTTACCGCAGCCACACACACAGTAGTGCATGTATTACACTATATACCTGATGTTACCGCAGCCACACACACAGCAGAACATGTATTACACTCTATACCTGATGTTACCACATTCAGTGCCATGCTTGGCTGTGTCGTGCCTGTTTGTAACTGTTACTGGTACAATCTCGTAAGTTATTTACTGATTAAGGTGGACTAGGTGCAATTCTCTCGTTCACCCAGCATTGTAGGTTGTATCGGGTAATTTGTCTCTAAGATACCCAATAGTGTAGTTAGGATCGGCTATCAAGTGAGTGTACCAATCAATCTTGCTACACAGTGAGACAATTTGATTACACAATAGACTGGCGGTTACTGTATAAATGCGGCGCGTGTCAATTCGCGCCGTATTAGTGCAGCTAACAATGCCACATTAATTAATTACATTAACAAGCGGCCGTTTTTGCTGTCAGCCTTTCTATAAACATTAGCAATGCTAGCCGCTGGTGCGTCTGTGAAGCCAGTGTGTGTTTAATAAAACCCACCTCGTGCACAAAGCTAATCCTCCGTGAAGCCAGGCCCATTAAACCTTCCCCGTGAAACCATAATTTTAAACCCTCCTCGTGAAACCACCCCCGTGAATTCACCCCCGTGAAACAATCCCGTGAATCCATCCCGTGAATCCATCCCCGTGAATCCATCCCCGTGTAGCCACCCCCGTGAAACGATCCCCGTGAAAGCATCCCCGTGAATCCATCCCCGTGAATCCATCCCCGTGTAGCCACCCCCGTGAAACTATCCCCGTGAGACCATCTCCATGAAACGATCCCCGTGAAACCATCCCCGTGTAGCCATCCCCGTGTAGCCATTCCCGTGAAACCATCCCCGTGTAGCCATC